CTTCTTTCCATTGTACATGACTGCCTCCCCTTCCTTCCATTGTACCTGACTGCCTCCCCTTTCTTCCATTGTACCTGACTGCCTCCCCTTCCTTCCATTGTACCTGACTACCTCCCCTTCCTTCCATTGTACCTGACTGCCTCCCCTTCCTTCCATTGAACCTGACTCCCTCCCCTTCCTTCCATTGTACCTGACTACCTCCCCTTCCTTCCATTGTACCTGACTGCCTCCCCTTCCTTCCATTGTACCTGACTCCCTCCCTTTCCTTCCATTGTACCTGGCTACCTCCCCTTCCTTCCATTGTACCTGACTGCCTCCCCTTCCTTCCATTGTACCTGACTGCCTCCCCTTCCTTCCATTGTACCTGACTACCTCCCCTTCCTCCCATTGTACCTGACTACCTCCCCTTCCTTCCATTGTACCTGACTGCCTCTCCTTCCTTCCATTGTACCTGACTACCTCCTTTTCCTTTCATTGTACTTGACTGCCTCCCCTTCCTTCCATTGTACCTGATGGCCTCCTCTTCCTCCCATTGTACCTGACTGCCTCCCCTTCCTTCCATTGTACCTGACTGCCTCCCCATCCTTCCATTGTACCTGACTGCCTCCTCTTCCTTCCATTGTACCTGACTGCCTCCCCTTCCTCCCATTGTACCTGACTGCCTCCCCTTCCTTCCATTGTACCTGAGTGCCTCCCCTTCCTTCCATTGTACATGACTGCCTCCCTTTCCTTCCATTGTATCTGACTGCCTCCCCTTTCTTCCATTGTACCTGACTGCCTCCCCTTCCTTCCATTGTACATGACTGCCTCCCTTTCCTTCAATTGTACCTGAGTGCCTCCCCTTCCTTCCATTGTACCTGAGTGCCTCCCCTTCCTTGAATTGTACCTGACTGCTTCCCCTTCCTTGGATCGTACCTGACTGCCTCCCCTTCCTTGGATTGTACCTGACTGCCTCCCCTTCCTTGGATTGTACCTGACTGCCTCCCCTTCCTTGGATTGTACCTGACTGCCTCCCTTTCCTTGGATTGTACCTGACTTCCTTTCCTTGGATTGTACCTAATTGCCTCCCCTTCCTTGGATTGTACCTGACTGCCTCCTCTTCCTTGGATTGTACCTGACTGCATCCCCTTCCTTGGATTGTACCTGATTGCCTCCCCTTCCTTGGATTGTACCTGGTTGCCTCCCCTTCCTTGGATTTTACCTGATTGCCTCCCCTTCCTTGGATTGTGCCTGATTGCTTACCCTTCTTTGGATTGTACCTGACTGCCTCCCCTTGCTTGGATTGTACCTGATTGCCTCCCCTTCCTTGGATTGTACCTGATTGTCTCTTCTTCCTTGGATTGTACCTGATTGCCTCCCCTTACTTGGAGTGTACCTGACTGCCTCCCTTCCTTGGATTGTACCTGACTGCCTCCCCTTCCTTGGATTGTACATGAGTGCCTCCCCTCCTTGGATTGTACCTGACTGCCTCCCCTTCCTTGGATTGTACATGACTGCCTCCCCTTCCTTGGATTGTACCTTATTGCCTCCCCTTCCTTGGATTGTATCTGATTGCCTCCCCTTCCTTGGACTGTACCTGACTGCCTCCCCTTCCTTGGATTGTGCCTGACTGCCTCCCCTTCCTTGGATTGTACCTGGCTGCCTCCCCTTCCTTGGATTGTATGTGACTGCTTAATGATAGTTCAAAACAATATTGGGATTTATAGGTACTAAAGAGCATTTTATTCATTATTTGAAAGGGACTAGAGGCAGTAGGGATGTCATGTTTGAGAGAAATGTGTGCTATCAGTGTGATGCAGAGGGTTTGGAGTGCAGAAATTAAGAGTGTGAGGAAGAATTGCTGAAGTGGTTTGGGCACTTAAAGAACAGGGAGAGGGTCAGTTTGATGATGAGCGTGTATAAATCTGGGGTGAAAGGTAGGAAAGGTAGGGGTTGTACCAGAAATGGTTGGAGGGAGGGGGTGAAAGAAGCTTTTGGGTTTTAAGGGCTGGAGCATCTAGCAGACTTGTGTGAGTATGTTAGATAGGAGTGAATGGAGACAAGTGGTTTTTAGTGGATGTTCTGTTGAAGTGTGATCAAGGTAACACTTATGAAGGAATTCAGGGAAATTGGTTCGCCAGACTTGAGCCCCTTGATGGCAAGTCTTTTTTGCATACTCATTGGTGGTGATTATGGTTTTCCAATGTTTGTATTAGTAATGCTTGCACCCTGAAGGTTGGGTGGGAATGTTGTAGTTGGGAGGTAATCTAAATTGTGATGTCAGCACACTTCTGGTAAGTCAGTGATTGATTGAATGATGGTCAATATGTTTCCTTCTTAGGTCACTCTGCCTTGAGATAAAAAAAACAAATAACTCATTGTGGCCCTGGTCACAGACCGGGCTGTGGTGGCATTGACCCCGGAAACCCACTCCAGGTATACAAACTAATCCACAAGGAGAAAATAAAGTAGAAAATAAAAAGACTCTTGTATGTTTCGGCTTAACAGTGACATTTTACCTGACATAAAGCACACATCTCAGGTGAAGGAAGGTCTTCATGGCAAGGGTGGTTATAACATTCAGTTTCTACCAGCCTTGTGAAATACTGAAATTAGGTAATAAAGCAGTTATACCAGACTCAATGGACTTATTAATACAATTAAAAATCAAAATAACATTTTAATTTCCAAAATATTATATAGTACACATGTACAGAGTAATTTGAAATGCTTATATGAACATTTCTGGGTTCTATATGTATATAAGAAAAACAGGTTACTAGTTAGTACTACAGTTATGAATTTTGACGTGTTGAAAAATTGCTGGAGGATATTGTATATATCTAACAGACCTCTTGTGTTCAGTTATTGCATTTGTCTTTTTTTTTTTATGTATGATTTGTTGCAGGCTTTGCAGGGAATTTTATGTACATTGAGTGAAAGAAGGATTGTTTTTCTCTTGCAGCCACTGATAAAATAATTTTGCATTTTGTTGGGGGTAATTTGATAGATTTGTGTTGTAAATAGGTACATAAATAACTCGCACATAGGGTAGGGGAGCTTATGATGACCAAAACATCATCGTAAGCTCCCTTCTCCTATGTATAGGTTATTTGTGTATTGTTTCAGTCACAGTATTGTGGCTTTTTTTTTTTTTGTATTTGTAAATAGGTAGTATTTTTTTGCACGTTTTTCTGGTAAGGAATTGATAATTTGTTATCAAATAAAATCGTGTTGCTTTCTTTTTGCTTGCTGGCAGTTCAGTAACTATTATTGGCTCTTGGTTGACCATTTTGTAAACAATTCTAGATGCCGAAGTCTTCTCAGTTATGCACTGATGGCTCTATTTTTTTGTTCCATGTTGTGAGCTGCATAATCTGAGTGCTCCATAAGATATTTACATTAAACACGAACACCAAATTATTTAATTATGGGGGAGCAATAATAATTGTACTCTACCTATGCACTGTACTCTATCATTATCCATGTTTTTTATATCCCCACATTTATTCTGCCTGCAATGAGCATGCATGCTAGTGGCTTACTTTTGTGCTTAACAGTATTTTATTACATGTAAACTACATTTTTATACTGCACAAAGAAATAAAATTTGTTTATTCTTGTTACAAAAAACGCGATTCTAAAAGCTTAGAGATCTCCAGTGAATACTAGAAAGGACTGCCCTTCTAGCATCCAGCCTGTTACTGGGTTTTCGTAACAAGTAGTCAGTATCCTTGTCCAATTATCCATTAGAATTCAGTAGGTTTCAATAGTGCTTCAGGATTACAACTGGTAGGCTACTAACTAGAGAAATTAAAATTTAATAAATTTATTAAGTCTAGAGGTATATTATCAAAGTAAATTAAATTAATAATAATCAAAATAATAATAATCACTTCTCTCGAGTACAATATTATTGTGCTGAAAGCACATATCACATTTATAATTCTTAAGTACCGTCTGGTACATTAACATTTAATAAGATATTACAAATATGTACAAGTAAGTTTGTGTGTATATGTGTAAGTGCTCTAAGTACGTAGATCGCTATGTCTCAAGACTCGACTAGACTTAAACAAGTGACTGACAAAGTCCTCAAATCAACTAACTTCTTGACCAACTGGCAATCAGAACAGTCTGCTTGAACAACAAAAAGAATGCTAAGCCCAATAGCAATATAACAAGCAACTGCGACACAGAATCAGGAACAAGGAGATAATATAACGACACTAAGTAGGGACCATCTGCAGATCCTCCACAAAAGTCACCAAATTCCCATACTACTGAATCTAAGTTCAGCATAAGAAAATCCCCGACTGTGATAATACACAGATACCAGTACAAGTTAGGTCAGAAGCTACAGCTCAGGACCTGAGTTGCTCAGAGTGTCTATGCGACACACAACCTCAGTACAACGTCGAAAATCACTAAGTCTATACAATGTTCTGTGAACAGAGTTCCACAGAACTAACAAGAATAATGAGACAGACAATCTGTCCAACCACCAAGAGAGTCTAGACCAGACTGAATACTTCAGGTGAGGTGAGGACACCCCCCTCCCTCTCGATCACGTGATAGCTCCATGGACAGTACTGCCCAGCAACAGAAGCCAGCAGTCTAACGAGCCACAAGCGATAATTACAGTAGTTAGACAATCAAGACTTGAACTGAGCACATAATATGTTACATCCTACCTAACAAAAGGAAGCCAAGTCAAATAACAATATAAAGCAATACATTTACGATTTAGCTATTATCGCAAATACAAGCAATATAAAATTATATGAAAAGGTAATATACATTACATTCATAATCATAATATACATTATATATATTGCAACCCATTCAGGGGTTGCAACAATTCTGCATTAAATAATTCTTAAATTGAAAATTTTATATCTTTCCTTTTAGCAGTATGTGCTTCTGCACTATTTTAAGCTATTATTCTTTTCAGATGCACTTGACTATGTGTGTGTCCATTTATTTATGGATCTCTATTTATACTTATGCTTTTCAGGGATAGAAATATAAGATGAATGGCAGCAGCACGCAAACTTTTGCACAGAGTGGTGCACTCTTGAGAGACAGAAGACAAAAAACCTTCAAAATCATTGTTATAGGAGACAGCAGTGTGGGGAAGACATGTCTTACATTTAGGTAAGAATAGTGTATTGGCAGTGGTATACATTTCTTCAGTCATGAGTGGAAATATAAGGTTTTTGCTTGTAAAATAATTTATTTATTAATGCAGTACAGAATATTTTTTGGAATATCATTTATCAAGATACTGATTCACCCTGCCTCAGTTTGTAAGTTTTAAAAGTAGCTTGCTTGAAAAGCTTTGCATAATACAGTATATGGCTTACTTTTGCATGCAATTGTATCAGAACTGTAACCAGAGGAGCTGTAAACCCATTCATTGTAACGTCCATGTATGTTTCAAAGGAAATAAAAATTTTAATTTTTGTTTTCAAGTTTTTCAGTTCATCCTAGCCTGTTGTTAAGTTTTGACTTAGTAATGATCCAGAATGGACCAGAAGTCTGTTAGTTTAATGTAGCATGTTAAATGTGTCTTCCTATATGATTTGAAATTTTGCACATGTTACTATAATTTTTGAGTGGAATAATCTCCAGTCAAGTCTTGGAGACACTTGAATGATTGCTTGAAACCTAGCCTAAAGAAAACTAGTACAGGTTGGCCATTACTAATCCGGCATCATCGGGACCTGTAGGGTGCTAGATTAGTGATTTTGCCGGATTACAGAGTGGTTAGGTTAGAATACACTTAACCCAATGGCGATATTTACGCATCAGTGATTTCACCCACTTTACACCCTATTTTTGGCCCATTCCATTGTTCCAGTCTACCAAACTCAGTTATTTCACTAGTATTCCTGCTATTCTGTTGATTGAGTACAAGTTACAGTTGAGTACAGTTAACAAGATAAATGACTTCTCAATCATAGGATCAAATCTTGCCAGTAAAATCCCAGGTACTAACGCCCGAGCAAGTGATTACTTAGATGGGAATTTCCCAACCTCCTATCTTGCACCTACCGAGCCCACTGAAGTCACCACGATTATCAGGTCACTTAAAAATAAATCGGGGAATCTGTCTCAAGTCCCACCGTTACTGTACAAGCGAGCACCTCATATTCTTTCGCCTGCTATTTCATTATTTTTTAACAAATCACTAGAAACTAGCACTTTCCTGACACTACTTAAGACAGCAAGGGTTACACCAGTACACAAAGGTGGTGATCCCACAGATGTAAATAACTACAGGCCAGTATCAGACTTACCTTTGCTATCCAAAATCTTTGAGAAACTCATGCACAAGAGATTATATTCGTTTATAACAGCACAAAGCATACTCAACTCCTGCCAGTTTTGCTTCAGAAAAAATAAAAGCAATTGTAAAAATACTAGACCTGCTTTACACAGCACTGGAAAATAGGGAATATCCATTAGGACTCTTTATTGACTTAAGGAAAGCTTTTGATACAGTAGACCACAGCATCCTACTACACAAACTTGACCATTACGATATAAGAGCCCATGCACTTATATATTTCAAATCCTACCTTACTAATAGGCCTCAATACATCTCCATTAAGGACATAACCTCATCAACACTACCCCTTGATACTGGAGTGCCACAGGGATGTGTCCTTGGTCCCCTGCTCTTCCTCTTATACATCAGTGATCTTCCCAACATATCACAACACCTGAAACCAATTCTCTTTGCTGACGACAGACTTATGTCATCTCCCACCCAAATCTTGCCTCACTCAATACCATTGTTAATGAAGAGCTACTAAAAATATCAACCTGGATGACTGCCAATAAACTTACACTTAACACTGACAAAACTTTCTATATTTTGTTTGGAAACAGAGCAGGTGTTGCACAACTGAACATTAAGATTAGCGACACTCTTATTGCTAAACATAATGAGGCCAAATTCCTGGGCTTACACCTTGACAGCAACCTGAAATTCAATACCCATATCCAACACTTTAAAAAAGTATCCAAAACGGTTGGGATCCTCTCTAAGATACGTTACTATGTACCACAATCAGCCCTACTCACACTATACTATTCACTCATCTATCCCTACCTCACATATGCCCTTTGTGCTTGGGGATCAACAGCAACCCACCTAAAGCCAATAATAACCCAACAAAAAGCCACAGTAAGAATTATCATGCAATCCAATATGAGGCGACACACACCCCCACTCTTCAAAGGCCTAAACTTACTGTAAAGAACATCCACACTTACTACTGTGCAACCTACATTTACAGAACCATAAATTCCAATATTAACCCTGAACTAAAATACTTTCTTCATAGTTGTGACAGGACCCATAGGCACAATACCAGACACAAAAATCTCTATGACATTAACAGTGTCTGGCTAAATATATACAAAAATTCTATGTACCTAAAAGGACCTAAAATCTGGAACTTCCTGCCTGAAAACTCTAGAACTGCAGACTCAACCAACATTTTCGGAATTACCATTAAAGAACATCTTATCTTCCTAACACCCCACCATCAGCTAACTAAATGAAAACCACCTATACTATTACTCATATCATGCACACATCCAAAACAAAATAGACTTACTCTCAATATCTGTGATTCCCCCTAATTTACATTTACACTCACCCAAATGACTTAAACATAAAACTCCGAATATAGCTATTGCCTAATAAATCTTAAGCTAATCATAAGTTTACCTGAGATACTCCGATATAGGAACTTTAATAGAAACTGTGTATCATGCCAAGACAAAAACCATTCTCATTACTAAATTTACAAATTGTAATATTCTTAAAGGTTTTGAACTACCTCACTATTGTAAATCTATTTAATCACCACAGTTATCTAACGTTAATATCAGTATGCTCCATAACCTGTGTCAATATAGAGTAAGAATTAGTATTGGTGTGCCCAAAATGCCTAGGCATGCTAGTAGCCTTTGTAATTCATATTTTATAATATGTAAACCACAAATTGTAATTAATATTCTATAATATTTAAACCCCAAAATTGTTACAGAGAAATAAACATTTCAATTTCAAGAAACTGCCCATTCACCTATTTCAACTACCCAGTAAAGTGGTCAGAAATTGGTAATTTGGCCAATTTCACACAAATTTCAAAAGATGCCAATTTCAAAATAGTGTCCAGAATAAACAATGCAGACATTCCTGGCACTAAAATAACATTTTCTCTGTTCATTAGTCACATCTCCAGGCCCCATTATATTACCCTTGCTTTCCATTTTGAATTTTTATTTACACAAAAAATAGAAGATTTACTGTTATGCAGACTATTGCATTATTGTAATAATTGTATAAATAATGTCAACCCATTCATGACTACGTATTAGACCGGCCAGTTGGACATGTATTGAACAGTGTTTACTCTTGAACATCGGCAAAAATCGAACATTTCTGCTTTTTTGAGCTCAGTTTCAAAGTACTTTTCTTTATGAAACCAATCAAAATCATATATATTTCTGTAATACATATTCCATTCTATCAAATGAGACCAAAAAAATGAGAATACAACCATAAAAACTATACGAAAATACACCACAAATTTTCTGTTTTACACCAAGGTCACAGTTTTTTCTCATGCACTTAGTGCTGCAGGATTTTTTTTTATATAGCACACACTTACCACACTCATGTGTAGGCCCAAATTTACCAGTCATAGCTTATATGAGTGAGCTGAGCTTATGGTGACTGACAGTAGCTTCAAGCCACCTTATCTTCTATGGACACTATATGGTGTATGTGCTTTACACAACGAGAAGAATTTCTTTTATTCGTTGGAACCATGGCTAGGGCTAAAAGCAAGCAGGTTATAACAATAAATGGAGAAAAAAAATTGGAATGACTTATACAGGAAGTAGTGCCACCAAACAGTAGCGGCAGGTTGGTGTGGCAACCCTGAAAATTTGAAATTATGCTAGCCAAAATTAGTGCCGGATTACTAATGGAACCGGATTACTGATTGCCAGATTAGTGATAGCCAACCTGTATTTGGCTATTTAGGCCATAATTGGTGAGAAGTTATAATAATAATAATAAACAATCTTTATTTTTTCCTAAACTTTATTTGTACACTTTGTTACACTAAGAAACCCCCTTAACCCTTTGACTGTCGAAGGGCCAAATCCTGAAGTTGCTTCTGGTGTCGCAAAATATTCGAAAAAAAAAAATTATTTTTTCTTATGAAATGATAGAGAATCTTTTCCCGATTGTAAAGACACCAAAAAAACGAAATTTGATGGAAAACTGACGGAATTACGCTCTCGCGAAGTTAGCGACTTCGGCGATATTTAAAAATCGGCAATTTCGCCCACTTTGAGCCCTATTTTCGGCTAATTCCGTTATTCCAGTCAACCAAACTCATAACTATTTCTTCAGAACTCTATTTTTTCTATCGATTGAGTACAAGAAACTGCCCATTTACCGATTTCAACTACCCAATAACATGGTCAGAAATTTGCAATTTGGCCAATTTCACGAAAATTAAAAAATACGACAATTTCAAAATAAGGTCCAGAATGAACAATGCAGACATTCCTGGCTCTAAAATAACATTTTCTTTGTTCATCAGTCATGTCTCCAGGTCCCTGTGATATTACTCTTGCTTTTTATTTTGAAATTTTATTCAAACAAAAAATAGAAGATTTACTGTTATGCAGACTACTGCAATACTGTAATAATTGTAAAAATTACATCAACCCATTCATGACTGCGTATTAGAATGGCTATTTGGACATTTATTGGACAATGACATCATTTGTTCACTTTTGAACATCGGCAAAAATCAAACATTTCCTGTACTTTGTGCTCCATTTCCAGGTTCTTTTTATAGTAAAATTAATCAAAATCACCTGCATTTCTATAATATAGTTTCCATTCTATCAAATGAGACCAAGAAAACGAGAATACAACCACAAATACTATACGAAAATAGACCACAAAGTCGGCATTTTAATTAAAAAAAACGGTCGGAGTTTTTTTTTTTCTCATTATGCACTGCGTGCTCCAGGATTTTTTTTATGTGGTGCACACTGACCACACAGACCCATTCTCTCACATGTGGGCCTACTAGCTTTCTCCTGCCTGATTTGAAGCCGCTAGAATTTATTTTTATTTTTTTTTTATTATCACACCGGCCGATTCCCACCAAGGCAGGGTGGCCCGAAAAAGAAAAACTTTCACCATCATTCACTCCATCACTGTCTTGCCAGAAGGGTGCTTTACACTACAGTTTTTAAACTGCAACATTAACACCCCTCCTTCAGAGTGCAGGCACTGTACTTCCCATCTCCAGGACTCAAGTCCGGCCTGCCGGTTTCCCTGAATCCCTTCATAAATGTTACTTTGCTCACACTCCAACAGCACGTCAAGTATTAAAAACCATTTGTCTCCATTCACTCCTATCAAACACGCTCACGCTAGAATTTATGAGTATATATACGTCAAACACGGTACCTCGCAAACGTATATATACGGCCGCGACAGTCAAAGGGTTAAGGGAGGTTCTTTGATACTGGTGAGGGGCTCTTGATCTAGGGAATTGGATCTGTGCTCTGGTTCCCTGAATTAAGCCTGAATACCTTCCATCCTCCTCCCTACGTGCGTTGTATAATCCTATGGGTTTAGCACTCCTCATGATTATAATAATGAATAATAAACTAAGAAAGAGAGAATGCTACAATAGGCTGTATGGCCATCTTGGAGTTGGTATAAGCTTGGTAATTGATGCCAGCAAATGGCTTAGAAAGGTATGTGAGCAAGCACTAAAATGTTTAGTTTCTGGGGGACCTTTATGGTGTTTTCTACTACCTATGTCTTAAGGTTTGCTCATAGTATCTTTTTAAATCATTTAAAGTTTAGTGCTTGCCCATGAATGTAATAATCTAGCAGTCACATGTAAATAGGAGAGTAGGAGAAGCAAGAGATGACAGAAAAGGATATTTATAAATGAAGACAAGAGACAAGTTCCTTACAACTTCTATGTATTCTCTGGCATGATCCTATAACTGCACAATTATAATGCTTTTAGGAACTTGTATTTGACCAGTGTTCTGTAGGGGTGACTGATATGCTAACCAGAACAGTCTCCTAGATGAAAGGTAAATAAATCTTTAATCCTACATAATGTTTCTCTCTTCAGATTTTGTGGGGGTCACTTTCCTGAGAGAACTGAAGCTACTATAGGTGTTGACTTTAGGGAGAAGAGGGTAAATATTGACCATGAAGAAATTGTGGTAAGTATACCTCTCAAGTATATTTAATCATACATCTCTCTGTGTGTGAGAACAAGAGTGAATATGAGATAGAGAATGAGAGTATGAGAGTATGAAAGAATGAGAGTATGAGAGAATGAAAGTATGAAAGTGAGAGAGTATGAGAAATGTGAGTGTGAATGCAATAGAGATAGAGTTATATATTACAGCAATGTCTGTTATATATCATATCCTACCCAGGTGTCAGACACCTGGGTAGGATATGATATATAACATCAATAAATGTGATGTAATGTGTAGTATTAGGATATCTTAACGAAGTGTTTTGCCATTTGTGGTGAAATGTTTCCTAGTTAAAATACCGTTACCGCACATGTTATATTTCAAAGAGGGCAATTTTCTGTGTGTAATAAGACCAAAAAATAAAAAATTTAAGAGTCAGTACTCGCTGAATGCTCACCTGACAGCAATGTGGAGTCCTGCCGCTTGCAGAAATGTTGCCAATATACCTTGGTTTCTCTCTTTATTTTTTTTAATTTATGTAATTTTTATGTTCTGATAATTACAATTTGTAGTAGTTCTTGTGATTTCATAGCCAATCTTTGTTCTGACACTAATACAGCCTCTCCTCACTTAACGACGGAGTTCTCTTCCTAAGACCACGTTGGTAAACGAATTCGTCACTGAGTGAGGAGCATACTATAATGGTAGTGAGTTTGTGTCAACCATCTTTGATATTGTTTAATGTCACCTTTGCACCATTTATAACATTTCTGGTATATTTTTAAATGTTTATACATTTGTGTACTGTATATTGTAATAAACAGAATAGAGGAAATCAGCTCTAATATACATTATTTAGGTATGCAAACTGGTCGGAGAGCCCATCATAAGTCCGAGTCATCGGTAAACGAGTACATCACTAAGTGAGGAGAGGCTGTATTAGGTACTGAAACAGTACTCAGATAGTCACAAACACACTGACAGGTGAACATTTTCATCTGCCTTGGTCACATACTATTGTCTAGATATATACAAAGTATTTATAGGTCCCAGCAATACTCGTTTACCAACAACTTGGTCTTACGACGGGCTCTCTGACCACTATGCATACCTAAATAATGTACAGTGGACCCTTGACCAACGATGGCATCGACTAATGATAAAATCGGGCAATGATGCGTTATTGTGTAAAAATATTGGCTCGACCAACGCTGAAAAACTCGGGTAAGAACAGTCATCCCGAACGTGTCCGCCTGTCCATCCAGCCTGAGTGCCTCAGCTGCCCTGCCTTCAGCTAGTGTGCCTTTGTTTACAAGCCAGGGTGGACGGTTTCAAGCATACCTGCGATATATTTTGTATTATTCCATTGTTTTTAGTGCTTGTAACTGCTAAATAAGCCACCATGGGCCCAAAGAAAGCTTCTAGCGCCAACCCTGTGGTAAAAAGGGTGAGAAATACTATTGAAATACTATCATACCACGGTCAGCTGTTGCTGCACCACGGTCAGCTGTTGCTGCACCACCGTCAGCTGCTGCTGTACCACAGTCAGCTGCTGCTGTACCACAGTCAGCTGCTGCTGTACCAGTCAGCTGCTGCTGTACCACTGTCAGCTACTGCTGTACCACTGTCAGCTGCTGCTGTACCATGGTCAGCTGCTACTGTTGCTGCACCACCATCAGGGGCTACTGTACCACAGTCAGCTGCTCGTGCTGCACCACTGTCAGCTGTATTACTCAAAGATGTGAGAGAGTGTTGTTGGTGTGGGTTAACGAGAAACAATTCCCAGAAACAATTAACCCCAGAGGGTTAGCCACTCAGGATAACCCAAGAAAGCCAGTGCATCATCGAGGACTGTCTAACTTATTTCCACTGGGGTCCTTAACCCTTTCAGGGTTTCTGATGTACTAGTACGGCTTACGCACCAGGGTTTTTGACCTACTAGTACTCCTAAATTCTAGCGCCCTCAAATCTAGTGAGAGAAAACTGGTAGGCCTACATATGAAAGAATGGGTCTATGTGGTCAGTGTGCACAGTATAAAAAAAAAAACTGCGGCACACAGTGCGTAATGAGAAAAAAAAATCTTTGACAGTGTTTTTGGTTTAAAACAGCGACTTTGCACTGTATTTTCGTACGGTATTTATGATGGCATTCTAGTTTTCCTGGTCTCATTTTATAGAATGGAAGACATATTACAGAAATTGAGATGATTTTGATTGGTTTTGCAATGAAAAGTACCTTGAAATTGAGCTCAAAGTAACAGAAATCTTCGATTTTTGCCGAAGTTCAGAAGTAAACAAATCATGCTATGCGTCCAATACACGTCAACTGGTGAGTCTAATATTCTTTCACAAGTGCGCTGATATTATTTATACCATTTCTACACTAATGCAGTAGTCTGCATAACAGTAAATCTTCTATTTTTTGTGAGAATAAAAATTCAAAGTGGAAAGCAAAAGAAATGTAAGAGGGGCGTGGGGATGTGACTAATGAACAGAGGAAATGTTATTTTAGTGCCAGGAATGTCTTGTTTATTCTGGACCCTATTTTGAAATTGGCATCTTTTGAAATTTGTGTGAAATTGGCAAAATTGCTTAATTCTGACCACTTTATTGGATAGTTGAAATCGGTAAATGGGTGGTATGGTTTCTTGTACTCATTCAATAGAAAAAATGGAGTTCTAGCGAAATAGTTATGATTTTTGTTGACCAGTACACTGGAATTGGCTGAAAATAGGGCTCAAAGTGGGCAAAATCGCCAATGCGTAAACATCGTCGAGACCGCTAACTTCGCGAGAGCATAATTCCGTAAGTTTTCCATCAAATTTCATAATTTTGGTGTCATCATGATTGGGAAAAGATTCTCTATCTTTTCAAAAGAAAAAATATTTTTTTTTTTTTGAAAATTTGTTGACCCTGAGAACAAGACTGGGAGAGGGCCTATCGACCCTGAAAGGATTAATCTTGTCCCCCAGGATGCGACCTACACCAGTCGACTAACATTCAGGTGAACAGGAAAAAATGCCTGGAACTAGTGCTCGTATTGGTGAATTTAAGGCCAGCAAAGGTTGGTTTGAGAGATTTAAGAATCGTAGTGGCATACACAGTATGATAAGGCATGGTGAACCTGAAAAATTCCAACCTCAACAAGTGTTCAATTGTGACGAAATAGGCCTGTTCTGGAAGAAAATGCCAAACAGGACCTACATTACTCAGGAGGAAAAGGCACTCCCAGGACACAAGCCTATGAAAGACAGGCTAACTCTCATGTTTTGTTGTAATGCTAGTGGAGATTGCAAAGTGAAAATCCCCGTGTGTTCAAGAAAAAGTGTCTCATCACTCATCAGTACTCTTCAATAATAGTGTCATTTTATTATTTATGTATTTATTGTGCATGTCTCATTGTTTTCTTTGTAGGGAAATATATATTTCATGTAAAAAAAAATTTTTTTTTTAAATACTTTTGGCTGTCTGGAATGGATTAATTGGATTTCCATTATTTCTTATGGGGAAAATTAATTTGGCTAACGATAAATTCTGCTAAGGACAAGCTGTCTGGAATGGATTAAAATCGTTGGTCGAGGGTTCACTGTATATTAGAGCTGATTTCCTCTATTCTGTTTGATACAATGTACAGTATACTGTACTACTGTATAAACATTTAAAAATAGTATACCAGAAATGTTATAAATAGTGCAAAAGTGACATTAAAACAATATCAAAGATGGTTAACACAAACCCACTACCATTATAATATGCTCCTCACTCAGCGACGAATTCGTTTACTGATGTGGTCTTAGGAAAGGAACTCCATCATTAAGTGAGGAGAGGCTGTATATATGAAACTCCTTGATGCACAGTGTAAGACAAGTGTCGCTCCACTGCTGACAGTGCAGCAGTAGAGTGACACTTGATGTGCACTGCCTTGGCTTTATTTGTTTTCACTGTTACACATAAACATGTCTGTGTACCTAACTGTTTATCTGTGTCTCTGCTTATCTGTCTGCCTGTGTGTTTGTCTTCCTGTCTCTGTCTGCTTGACTCTTTCTGTGTCAGAGAGAGCCACTCATGACCTAACAGGCATTACACACGATGCAGTGTTGTCACATCTGATTCCTGAACAAGTGAAAATGCGTATTACTTGCCAGTCATGCTTATTAGACCTTGTATCTATAAGCACAGTATAGCATTTTGTCTGGATTTTCTTTTTTCAACAAACTGGCCGTATTCAACCAAGGCAGGGTGGCCCAAAAAGAAAAACGAAAGTTTCTCTTATTTTTGGATGTTATCCTAGGTAATTTACACTATGTATAATAACTGTATTTATGTGTACCTTTGAGACAGAGATAGAGACACAGACAGATGGAGATAGAGATAGCCAAAGTCAATCAGCCAGCCAACCAGCTGGCCTGCCAAACACGTATTACACGTGTTCCAGAATTGTTTCTCTTAGGACATAGGTTGAAGGACATTCTGGCAGGATGACACTTCCAGTGATATCAAAATTGAAAGGATATTGCACAAATGTTGCACATGGGTTATTATTGAAGTTTTTAATATTTCCTCAACCACTTGTGGCCACATTCATCTCAAAACCACTAAACTCAGGGTTAACATCACTTTCCTCTTAAAAGGGGAGTATTAATATGACATGACATCAGTGAATCCCTGGTGTTTGCTCTAGCTGGCGCTCAATTGAACTGGTGTTCCCACAAGGTACTAAGCGGTCCCAGATTTTTTTTAATACTGCGCACACCAAGTTTTAAGACCCATTCTATACTGACGGGCATCTCAGGCCAGTCGTGCCAAATTTAGAGGCAGGAAAAATAAAATGTTGATCTACGTTTGGGGCGCTGGCAGTAACGTAGATGTACATTTGGACAGTTAACAGGTTAAGGAAGCTGTTAGTGCCTCATCAGTGTTTAAATGTTACCAGTCAGTTTTGCTGAAAATATTTAGAATCTAAATGATCTATAGTTTTAAATTAAAAAAATAGCTTATATGTATTTAGAACCATGCACATTTTGGCATGAAACAACCAAATGAATACTGTATCTGTATTGTAAGTGTCAGTTACCAGAGTTAACAAGGTAGTCTGGCTGTAGGCTAGGCTATGAAGGTAGAAAAACCACAAAACCAGACACAAGTATGCCTCTGCTTCCCAAAGAAGAATGAATTTAATTTAGTGACATAAAAAAATCCACAGTGGCCATTACCCTGCATCACTCATTCAATAGCTGTATTGCCAGAAGTACAGAAACAGTACAGTACAGAAGATCTTCCATACTACAACATCCCTTCCCATTTTTGTCATGCGTAGAAATCTTTAATGAGTAAATTGACACTGTAATATCATTACTATACATTTTCAAATAATAATAATTTTTAATTGTCATATCATCACTCACTCCATCACTATCTTGCCTCTGGCAAGACAGTGATAGAGTGAGTGATGATGAAAGTGTTTCTTCTTTTTCGGGTCACCTTACCTTGGTGGGAAACGACTGATTTGTTAAGAAAATAATATAATACTAAGCACTAAACCCAAAAGGGTCATATAACTCTGATACATTTTCAAAGATTATTATAATCATGGAGCGCTAAACCCATAGGAATTATACAGCATCTGTGGGGGGAAGGGGGAGGCATTCAGGCTCAATTCAGGAAACTGGAGCACAGATCCAATTCCCTAGATCAAGAGCCCCTCACCAGCATCAAGGAACCTCCCTTGAGGGGACATTTTCAAAGAAATTAGAGGTGAATATACCCTCTTAACAGGTGGTGCATATTTCACTATCAAACAGTTGCAGCTGTGGGACACTGCTGGGCAGGAGAGATTCAGACGATCAATGGTTCAACACTACTACCGTAATGTCAGTGCCGTGGTTTTTGTGTATGATGTCACCAGGATGTCTTCATTTCAGGTGAGGAGCAATTTTGTTATAAATTTCAATTTTATAGTCTTTGTTTTTCATAATACAGTACAGCTGTAAATTTATTGTTTATGAACCCTTAATGTCCTTATACTATATAAGCGATTAGTTATTGCTATTTTAGTTTTAAGTTTGCCCAAAATGCTCTGCATAACTATGGCATTCTGCATTCACAACTAAATGTCACCCATCTCTGTATAATTATTGTATCATGCCAAAATAATTTTTTTTTTAACACATTGACCATCTCTCAATGAGGCAGGGTGACCCAAAAAAGAAACACTTTCCCCATCATTCACACAAAATCACTTGTCTTTGCAGAGGTGCTCAGATACGATAGTTTAGATGTCACTCCAAACATTTCACCCACATAACTGGGGAGAACTCTGGCACATCTAAAACAGATTGTACTTACTGATGTACATGTATTTTGGGAACTTGAGGAGCAATAGGTTGCTGATATTGTCCCTCCTTCAATGCCCACCATCTCAGCTCCCCAATTCACGTCTGGACCTTAATATTTATGTGAACATATAGGTCTTAACCCTTTGACTGTTTTGGTCGTATATATACGTCTTATGCGCCACTGTTTCGGACATTTATACGCGTAAATTCTAGCGGCTTCAAATCAAGCAGGAGAAAGCTGGTAGGCCCCACATGTGAGAGAATGGGTCTGTGTGGTCAGTGTGCACCATATAAAAAAATCCTGCAGCACGCAGTGCATAATGAGAAAAAAAAAACTCCAATGGTAATGACACCAAAAGTACAAAATTTGACGGAAAACTTACGGAATTACGCTCTTGCGAAGTTAGCGACCTCGGCGATATTTACGAATTGGTGATTTTGCCCAATTTGAGCCCTATTTTCGGCTAATTCCATTGTTCCAGTTGACCAAGCTCATAGCTATTTCTTTAGAACTCCATTTGTTCTATTGATTGAGTACAAGAAACTGCCCATTTACTGATTTCAACTACCCAATAAAGTGGTCAGAAATTGGCAACTTGGCCCATTTCATGCAAATTAAAAAATATGCCAATTTCAAAATAGGGTCCAGAATGAATAATGCAGACATTCCTGGCTCTAAAATAACATTTTCTTTGTTCATCAGTCACATCTCCAGGCCCCTTTGATATTACTCTTGCTTTCTATTTTGAATTTTTATTCAAACAAAAAAATAGAAGATTTACTGTTATGCAGACTGCTGCAATATTGTAATAATTGTGTAAATAATGTCAACCCATTCATGACTCCATATTAGAATGGCTAGTTGGACATTTATTGGGCAATGACGCCATTTGTTTACTCTTGAACATCGCAAAAATCAAACACTTCCCCTGCTTTGAGCTCCATTTCAAGATCCTTTTCATATTAAAACCAGTCAAAATCACCACTATTTCTATAATATGTTTTCCATTCTATCAAATGTGACTACGAAAACGAGAATATAATCATAAAAACTATACGAAAATACACCTCAAAGTCGGGGGTTTAATCTAAAAACACGGAGTTTTTTCTCATTATGCACTGCTTGCTGCAGGATTCTTTTTTATACTGCACACACTGACCACACAGATCCATTCTCTCACATGTGGGCCTACCAGCTTTCTCCCGCTTGATTTGAAGCCGCTAGAATTTTTGAGTATGTATATGTCAAACACATTGGCTCGTAAGACGTATACATGTATATACATGTACGACCGAAACAGTCGAGGGTTAATTTGAAAATGCACATTTTTGAAATGTACGAGGGTATAGTGGTACCAACAGTTTTATATGGGTTGTAAATGCTGCAGCAAGGAGGAGGCTGGAGGCAGTGGAGATGTGTCTAAGGGCAAAGTGTGGTGTAAATATTATACAGAGAATTTGTAGTGTGGAAATTAGGAGGTGTGGAGTTACTAAAAGTATTATTCAAAGGGCTCAAGAGGGGTTGTTGATATGATTTGGTCATTTAGATAGGATGGAACAATGTAGAATGACTTGGAGAGAGTATAAATCTGTAGTAGAAGGAAGGAAGGGTAGGGGTCGTCCTAGGAAATGTTAGAGGGGGTAAAGGAGGTTTTGTGTGTGAAGGGCTTAGACTTCCAGCAAGCATGTGTGAGCGTGTAAGATAGGAGTGAATGGAGATGAATGATTTTTGGGACCTGACGAGCTGTTGGAGTGTGAACAGGATAACATTTTGTGAAGAGATTCAGGGAAATTGGTTAACCAGACTTGAATCCTGGAGATGGGAAGTACAATGCCGCACTTTAATCCTTAACCCTTTCAGGGTCCGTCCCATAGATCTACGGCTTTACGTTCAGGGTCCAAACCATAGATCTACATCATGAGCTCAGCTCACTCTGATAAACTGTGAGTGGTACATTTGGGCCTAGATATGAGAGAATACATCTATGTGGTATGTGTGCACCACATAAAACAGATCCTGCAGCACACTGTGTATAATGAGAGAAAAAACTGAAATCATGATTTTTTGATTAAAACAGCGACTTTACAGTGTTTTTTCGTATGTTTTTTATAGTTGTATTTGCGATTTCTTGGTCTCATTTGATAGAATGGAAGACATATTACAGAAATAGAGATGATTTTGATTGGTTTTAGCACTGGAAATGGCTTGAAACTGAGCTCAAAGTAGCAGAAATGTTAAATTTTTGCCGATATTCAAGAGTAAACAAACGACCTCACACATCTAATACACGCCAGCTGGTGGGTCTAATATGCATTCACAAATATGGTGATGATATTTATACAATTATTACAGTATTGCATAACAGTAAATCTTCTATTTTTTGGTGTGAATAAAAATTCATTATGTGAATAAAAAATCAAAATGAAATTTATTTGTAAAGCCTCAAAACATAACTAATGAACAGAGGAAATGTTAGTTTAGTTCCAGGAATACCTACATTGTTTATTCTGGGCCCTATTTTGAAATTGGAATATTTTGAACTTTGTGTTAAATTGGCCAAATTAACAATTTCCGATCACTTTAATTTGTAGTTGAAACAGTTGACTTGGCGATTTCTTGTGCTCAATCGATAGAATAGAAGTAATACTAGTGAAATAGCTAAGAATTTGGTTGACTGGAATAATGTAATTGGCCTAAAATGGGAGTCAAAGTCGGCAAAATCGCCGATTCGTAAATATCGCTGACACATCAAAATTCGCGAGAGTATAATTTCGTCAATTTTCCATCAAATTTCGTACTTTTTGTTTTATTACCTTCACAAAAAGATTCTCTACCATTTCATAAGAAAAAATAAATTTTTTTTTTTAAATTCTTGGACACTGGGGCACCACTTCAGATTTGGGCCTTGGACCCTGAAGGGGTTAAACTGTCCAAGCAGATCTACGTTCACATACGTAGTGCTCCAAAAGTAGATCTATGGTTTTTTTTACATATTTTCAAATATAAAAAAAAAAAAAAAAGTAGATCAAAGTTTTTTTTACACTTTTTCAAATATAAAAAAAGAAAAGAAGATCTACTTTTTTTACATACTTTCAAATGTTGAAAAAACGTAGATCTACGTTTGGACAGTTTAAGGGTTAAAGGAGGGGTTTGGGATATTGGCTGTTTGGAGTGACATCTAAACTGTTGTATCCGAGCACCTCTGCAAAGACAGTGATTATGTATGAATGATAGTGAAAGTGTTAAATGATGAAAGGTTTTTCTTTCTTTTTTTGGGGGGTTAATCTGCCTCAGTGGGAAACAGCCGACATGTTAAAAAAAAATATATAAGTGTATGTTACAATGTATATGCTGTATATGTATATTACTCATGCATTTTAACATAGTTACCTTGAGTACTTATTGAAATGAAAAATTGTTGGTTGTAAGGGTCTAAGGGTTTATTATAATTATAGTAACCTAAATCTTTTTTTTCATTGCCCCAGCAGGTGTTCATGACACCAGCACTAGTCCAACATGACTGAAATGAATAAAAAAAAATATAAAAATATATGGGAAGTGGAGAAGAATCCTTCCTGTGTAAGCCATGTGTGTTCTAAGAGGTGACCAAAGTGCCGGGAGCAAGGGGCTAGTAACCCCTTCTCCTGTATAAATTACTGAATGTGAAAAGGAAACTTTTGTTTCTTCTTTTTTGGGTCACCCTGTCTCAGTGGGAGACGGATGATGTATAGTGGAACCTCGGCTTATGAGTTTAATCAGGTCCATGACCTTGCTTGTATCCTGATCTGCTCATATGCTGAGTCAATTTTCCTCATTTAAATTAATTGAAATGCCCTTAATCCGTTCCAGCGGAATTCCTGCTCTCGGGAGGCATGACAAAAATACTTCAATATGACACTAATATCAACTCTACGGCTTATTATCTAGCACAATTCATCTATTTTGACATAATAAACAATATAATTAACATAGAAACATGATATATACTCTAGAATGAATAAAATAGGCCATAATATGGCGAGTGGTGGTGGCGGCATCCATTCCCTCTCCTGCTCTGACTATATCTTCCCATTCTTTTATGAGAGAAAACGAAGTGTGAGGCTAACTGCACTAGTTTCATAAATAAGAAATATTGTATAAAAACGTAATAGAGAATGTAAAGAAATCAAGTGGTTTTATAAAGTGTACGTACGCTGACAGAGGTGGAGGGTGGAAGATAGGCTACTTGCTACTAGCTCCTACTGCCACCCCCTCGCTTGTTTATCTATGATTTCATGCTGTAATTCAAAGGACATCATCTTCTCTTTCTTCTCAGCACTGTCCTTTGCACTTACTTTCGTAGGGCCCATGGTTAGAAAAAAGAAATTTGGCAATAATAACATGAGAAATGCTTCCACTGTGACAAACACACTGCAAAGCTCAGCTGATGTTGTGGCGCTGGCTGTGCCACCTAGTGGTGATGTTCTGAAACTCGTTCATTATTATTATTATTAATTTAGGGAACTGGAGCACAGATCCAATTCCCTAGATCAAGAGCCCCTCACCAGCATCAAGGAACCTCCCTTGAAGGGGAAGCTTGCATCCT